ATAAAAACAGCAATAGATGGTCCTACATGTTTCGTCCCAGACTTGAAACTTTCTCGGGGACCTTAAAATCAAATAACAATAACAAATATTGAAACAAAGCAGCCTAACAAACTCCACCAACATGTCCCTTTAAATAGGGCTAATGTCAGGATCCTATCCAGACAACCAAGATATTGTTTTATTGCTGCAATGCCTGTTTCTCGCCTCTTGTGGCCTCCTTAGCCACTAGTCACATCAGTCGCTCTCATGTGCATAGCATGATATTCCAAATCTGCTACAAAAGGCTACACCCAACTCACCACATTGCCTTTTCATTGTGAGAGAAGCTGTGTTCTGAACCTGACAAGGCATCTGCTCCTGGCTCTTACTAAACAAAACCTGCTCTACTTTTACTTACCTTTAACCAACCTGGATATTACAGACTTTCCTATTATTTGCAAGTACCCTCAAAGACCCTGAAACTACAGTTCTGATTTCAAACCAAAGAGGCTGATCACTTCAAATTCCTGCTTTAACCTGTTTTACTTTATCCTCTATGCTCCTGTTACCTGACAACCCGCTTAGAGCATATTGCCTAAACCTTCTCTTCTGTTCCTTCTATTAATTCGAACCTATAATTTCTCTAATAAGTTTCCCTGTTTCTTTATATCCTGTTGTGAGGCATATTTCCTCAATCCTCTCTTCTGTTTTCCCTCAAGATTCGCACCTATAATTTCTTTTACAGGTTTATCTTTATTCTCCTACGTATAACTTCTGTTATAGGTTTACCTATTTTCAACTTTGGGCTTATTGTCTAAACCCTTTTATTTCATAAAGTGCAAAATCAAGTACAAAGAACAGGGTGAGCAATTAAAAACACCACCACACAATGTGATATACTTATATCAAGGAGGACCTTACAATTCGTCTCTGGTTATCTGTAACATATAAAACTGTACATAGTGTAATACTGTAAGTATGCAGATATTTAAGTACACAGAGGTAATGGGTCACTCACTCTTCCCAGAGCCACATATAGCAGGCTCTGGCTCTGATGGCTTATCAGCAGATAAAGTTGCTGGAATGAATCCTGGAATTCTGTTACTCCCAAATATTCAGGAAACCTTTAAAGTTTTTCTCAAATGGATTTACTTCTAGAAAGTGCAGTAAACAGGATACAACAGCACTTTTTTCTGCACTTTATTGAAGGATGCTGCTATATCCTGTTTTCTGCACTTTATTGAAGTAAATCGTTCACCATCATCCATGGTGACAACTTTTGGTGAGGAGGGATGTAAAAAGAAATGCATTTTAATGGTCAGAGACCAATTTTTTTTTTTTAAATCTATAAAAAGATTGAAATCATTAGCCATTTTGTTCGGGGCAAATTTCATACCTTTAGACAATAAATTGATTTCTTCTTCTGATAATGTTATCCCTGTTAAATTAAAAATGCCCTTCTCTATTTCCTTTTTTTTTAGAGTATGTTGTATTTTAGGGTTTTCTCTTAATACTCCACCCTCTCCATTTCTGAGAGGAGTCCTGATGTAAAAGGGAGAAACGGTTGGGATGTTCTCATTTATCTGCCATGGGATGGAAATAGTTGGTGATAACTTTTTCTTTTGGCCCTCTGGGTCCCCCTTGAAAATTTGTCTCCTTATCATTATACTGAGTATTGACTCCATTAATGTCAGATTTGTTTCTAATGACTTGGACATAAGACCTAGTTTCCCTCTCTCTTTCTGGGGACAACCTTCTAGATTGATGTGGATGTGATCTTTCCTTATTAGGTGTTCGGACAGGATCCGTCTGCCTGAGGGATTTTATCTTACAGAAATAAAAATAAATTCTTTATTAGCTTACAAAATGAAATTGCTTGAGATGATCAAGAGACACAGTAGCTCAATTTGCTGGATGTCCAGATGTTAACATAGAAACAATGCCTATTTTGCCTTATGTACATTCTCGTGGAGTTGCTAAGTTGCTATATCAGTAACATTTCTGTATAATACAGTAACATGCATACATAAAAACCTACAAGCAACAGGTTGTTTTAAAAAGAGTTGACTGGATTCATGTTGAACATTAATGAAGAAAATGAGGAGAGTGACAATAAGACAATAATACAAAAATCCGTGGCAGGTTGATGGAATAGATGTATCAAAACTAATCAAAATGAAACTGTATATGAACTTTTGGGGAAATGTTTATCAAGGCAATAACGGTTCTATTCTAGGACAAAATGCTAAATAAGATATCACCATAAAAACCAGTAGAATACTGCTCAATTTTTAGCATTTTGTGGCAGATTCACACCTGATTTGATGAACATTGCCCAATATTTTTGAAAGATGAACTCTCTCAAGTATTCACAAAGTCAAAAGTGAGAAGATTGTTTAGAGAAGGATTGAAATATGTTGGGATTTACTTATCTCACATAAGCATGAGAAAAGGGACATGTATTTACATTAGTTGAAAGAGTTAATGAAGCAGCGAAAGGACAAAGTGCTAAATTTGGGCGAATGAGCATATATTTTCTATTACATTGTATATTGTATTCGCTAATTAGCTTTTTACATTTATTTCATGGATGTGTGAAATAGCAGTCTTTAGAAAAGGTCTCCATTTTGACAGTTCATTTAAGGCAAATATTAAAAAAGTCACAAATTACAAGTGATTTTAGCCATCTAGGTCAGTCCAAGCATGGACTGGAAATTTAGCTGACCTGCTTTATAAATATAGAAAGTAAGCTATTCACAGGATTAAGTAGGTCATTGGAAATGGGAATTTGGAGAACTTATGTTACATACTTTTATTGTTTCTTGTTGAGCAACATTACAATGAAAAGGGAAAAGAGGAAGAAAAACAAATATAACTTCCATACATCCCATGCTACTGTATACCACCTACTAAACATTGTAGACCCATGAGATGATGATAACCATTCCTGCATGCCATGTGCTCCTACCCTCTTACTTCACATGTGGGATGGGATACAATATAGGGAAACTCTAACGTATATGGAATTGACACCATTGAATAAAACTTTGAAAATGACTGATGGGTAGCTAAAATCAGTGAGCCCATTTGCATGCTCTCTTGAAAGGATATTCTTAAATAATTAATTTCCTTTTGCATGGTTATTGAAATAGAATCGTTAAGAAAATAAGATGCATATACACTTTGATAAAGATCTTCATATTACACATTTTTGCTTTTCTTAAGTGAAAGAAAAGAAATCCAGTTGCTGAGTTTGAAGAAAAATAGAAGTTTATTGCGTTAAACCATTTATGAGTATGAAAAAGCACTTTCCATCCATGTTGATCCAAACAAAAATGCCGTTTATGTTGCTTTTGATAGAACAAAAATACTAGACACCGTCTTCCAAGTGATCAGTTTGAGTGTTCTATTAATAAAGTGTGTCTGATTACATAGTAACATAGTTACATAGCTGAAAAGAGACTTGCGTCCATCAAGTTCAGCCTTCCTCACATATATTTTTGCTGTTGATCCAAAAGAAGGCAAAAAAACTTAGTCTGAAGCGCTTCCAATTTTGCAACAAACTAGGAAAAAATTCCTTCTTGACCCCAAAATAGCAGTCAGATGTCTCCTTGGATCAAGCAGCTATAATTACCCCACTAATTAGAAATTATATCCCTGTTTGTTATGTTTTTGCAAGTATTTAACCAATTGCAGTTTACACATCTGTATAGACTCTGACAAAACCACCTCTTCAGGCAGAGAATGCATATCCTTATTGCTCTTACTGTAAAAAAATATTTTCTTTGCCTTAGATGAAATCTCCTTTCTTCCAGCCTAAATGTGTGACCTTTTGTCCTAGCCTTGTTTATGAATAGATTTCCAGATAAGAGTTTGTACTGGCCCCGAATATATTTTTATATTGTTATCATATCCCCTCTTAGGCGCTGTTTTTCCAAACTAAACAGATTTACATTTTTTAACCTTTCTTCGTAACTAAAATGCTCCATTCCTTTTATCAATTTTGTAGCTTGTCTCTGCACTTTTTCTAGTGCCATGATATCTTTCTTTAGAACAGGTGCCCAATTTTGCACAGCATATTCAAGGTGTGGTCTTACCAGCAATTTATAAAGAGGCAAAATTAGTCAATGCAGAAATAGTTGCTTGTATCGCATCATCTGCTCAGTAAACTCAAGCATAGCATCAGTGAATTGTAGTTCATGAAATGTAAACAAAAAGACACATCTAGAAGAACCAACCTATTATACCCTATATGGACAGAAACACAAGGTGACATAAAAACAAAAAAAAAGTGAAATGTGTAAAATCAAAATATAAATAATATTACTACCTCCCTTTTATAAAGCCATTTTACTTTGTTGACATATTCTCAAAAAATAAACACAAAATAAAATATCACAGCATGGTCATCATTGATAATGATTAAATTGTTGTATTTTATCAATCGCTCACACACAGACAAATCCAGGCTCATGAAAAAAAGGTACCTCGTGGGTTTAAGGTTCTACCACAACTTTATGTCGTCTGAATGGTAGTCTTGTTAGTATTTCTTGAGAAAGAATATATACAGAGCACCACATAGTGAACATTATCTTTGACTCAAAGTGCATGTAATAGAAATTATAAATACACTCACATGAGGAGACAAGAGCAACACTCCCCAGAAGTCTTTTAGAATGGTGTAAAATCAAATAAAAAAAACATGCAAATTAAAAAGAAAAAGACATCCAAACTTTTCCCCCAGTGTAACTTTTTCACCCCCATTTACAGATGGAAATAAGTGCCCAAATAGGAGGACGTTCAAATAAGGACATACCGATTTAGTAATTTGGTGCAATATTTATTTATTTATAAAATATTTTACCAGGAAAGATACATTGAGATTTCTCTCATTTTCAAGTATGTCCTGGGTCCACAAATCATTGCATTGTTACATTAGGGTACAATAAAATACAAAAACAATATTAATACACAATAAATACAAAATTTAACATAGAACAGGTAGGAAATATATAATCAACCATGACAGGTGCATTCTGTTTTGAGGTATGTAGAGAGGGATCTCTTAAAGGACTTTAGGCTTAGGGATGATTTTAAATTGTGCGGGAGGTCGTTCCACAATTGCGGTGCTCTGTAGGAGAAGGAGGATCTGGCCGTTTTCTTTTTGTATTGAGGTAGACTAAATAAAGTGTTGGTACTGGATCGGAGCTTATAGGAAGTGGGAACAGCAGGGGAAAGCATTTTGTTCAGGTAGGGTGGGAGTTTCCCAGAAAAGCTCTTAAACACAAGGCTGGAAAGATGAAGGGTGCGTCTGGATTCCAGCGACAGCCAGTTTAGTTCTTTTAGCATGTCACAATGGTGGGTCCTCTAATTACAAATCGGCAGAACGAGTTATACAATGTGTTGAGTTTATTAATGTGGGATTGCGATGCAGATGCATATACTACATCCCCATAATCAATTATTGGCATCAGCATTTGCTGTACAATCTTTTCCTTTACTGTAGGGCTTAGGCAGGATTTGTTTCTGGACAGGGCACCTAGTTTTGGATAAAGTTTAGATGCAAGCTTTTCTATGTGCAGGCCAAAAGATAGATTGGGGTCTAACATCATACCCAAGTATTTGAAAGAGTGGACTGTGATCAGTGTGCCATTTGAATTTGTTTTGATGGATAGGTGGGAATTGTGTAATTTGTGTAATTTAGTTACTGTTTCAAAGATCATTGTGACAGTTTTGTCAGTGTTCAGGAAGAGTTTGTTTTTTGCGATCCACCTTTCTACCTCTGTAAACTGGTCTTGGAGCACAGCCACAAGTTGTGGTAGATCGGATTTGCTTGCATAGATTACCGTGTCATCTGCGTACATGTGTACATTTGAGGATTTGCAGACATTAGGCAGATCATTTATAAATAATGTAAATAGTAGGGGGCCGAGAATGGAACCCTGGGGAACACCACACGTGATTTGGAGAGGGAGGGAGTAGCTGTCAGAAATGGACACATATTGTGAGCGATCCGATACATACGATCGAAACCAGGTTAGCGAACGATCATCAATACCTGAGTTTTTGAGTTTGTACAGTAGAATGTCGTGGTCTACTGTGTCAAAGGCCTTAGCAAAATCAAGGAAAATAGCTCCAGTTAGGGCTCTTTGTTCCATGCCAGTTTGGATGTCATTGCAAACTTTTAAGAGGGCAGTTGTAGTCGAGTGATTCTGGCGAAAGCCTGATTGATCAGGGGTCAGATAGTTAAAATGTTGGTAGCACTCAAAAAGTTGCGTATGGACACATTTTTCTAAGATTTTTGACAATACCGGGAGCAATGATATTGGGCGATAGTTAGAAACCAATGTAGTGTCACCACTTTTATGGATAGGCACTACTCTCAAAGTCTTCCAAAGTTTGAGTATGTATCCAGACACCAAGCATTCGTTAATTAGAGTTGAGATGGGTTTAGCAATTGCTGGCGCACTGAGCTTCAACAGCATTGCTGGGATTTGATCGGGTCCGGACTGGTTTTTCATTTTTAGATTATTAAGATGTTTTTTAATGACACTAACAGGTACAGGTCTAAAATTAAACTTATCTATATTGGGCCTTTGCAAATTTAGTGGGGCCTGATCCACATTTGTAGTTTCAGGATGCGTGTCATTTATTAGCTTGGCAATCAGGGCAGTAGAGCATCCAACAAAATAATTGTTAAAGGCATTTGCTACATCTAAGGGAAGTTGCAGGGTTTGGTTACCCACTTTGACAGTGGAGGGTTGGGAGTGGATTGGGGGAGTTTGTAGTTTATTTATGACTTTCCAAAAGTTCCTAGGGTTTGAGATGTTATTGTTTGGATTTTCATAGAAATATTGGGCCTTAGCCAATTTTGTCTGTTTTGTGCATATATTTCGCCATTGTCTATATGCACAGTGATCATTCATAGAGCCAGTACGCTTAAACTTTGACCACAAAGAATCCCGAAACTGGTACATTTGGATAAGGTCAGCTGTGATCCAGTTCATATGTGCTCCTTTTACCCTCACCTTATGCAGCGGGGCATGCAAATTTCAAATTTGTAGGAGTTCAGACTGAAAGAATTCAACAGCACAGTCTAGATCTGGGATAATGTTTAATCTGTGCAATGGGAGGTTCTTGATGTCATTTAGAAAGGATTCAAGATTACATTTTTTTGAAGGACCTAGTTATTTTAACCTTGGGAGAGGATTTAATAGCCTTTATCTTGCGCATGCAGTACACTAAACAGTGATCACTGAAAATGTTACATTTATCATAAAGTTTATATTGTAGAATTTGGGTTAAAAAATAGCATGCCACATTTTTTTTGTAAAGGAATGCATTTTTCCTATGGCAGTTTTTCCACCAATATGTATATGATTAGGAATGAGTGCTGAGTTTGAAATATAAAATATAAATATTTTCCTGTTGCATGTATATTTTAATACTTATTAATACAATCTTATCTAAATATTTGACAAAAAGGACAAATTGCTTTTTTAGCTAGTTGGATAGTGGGGTAATGGGGTTGTGTTAGCATTTGCTAGTGTGCACTGGGGTATAGGTGCAATTATTACCTTACCACAATTATATTTATTAGCTTTTAGCATGAGAAGCACCTCGTTGCCCATTGACAAGATGGAAAACTGATCTCTCCAGTTATACAATACCTTTCTTTACCAAATGAAGGCAAAAGTATAAATTACCTCCTTTTTCAAATGTTGACCAAAGTCTGCTTTGCAGAGATTTGCCTTACTGATGATATAAGATATCCCAAAACAGCTATCAAAATAAATAATCTTAGTTATTATTATTATTATTATTTTTATTATTATTTATATAGCGCCAACAAATTCCAGCAAACTGTACAATGGTTAGTTGAGAAATAACCTTTGGAGTCAAGAGTTTAATGCCTGGAGATCTGATATTATTATTATTATTATTATTATTAAGAAAGGACTATCAAAATAAGTGCCAACTTCATTATTATATGCCACAACAGTACAATCAAAAACATTAGTTTGCACTTGCAATATTGAGGACATTGAGTATAGGTTTTTTGTTAAATCATATTCTGTAAAAAAGTGTTGTATGTCCCAAATATCTGCATAAGGTTTGATTAAATAGACCTATAATTAAAAGTTGGATCAATAATTCTACTTTTTCTATTAGACGAAAGTCTAATTAAGATACATGTCCATGTTTTCTTTTAGAAAGCAAAAAATATAGATATTTATCTGAACTATGTACATCTGTATCAATGTGTACCAAAGCAGTCCACACCGAAAGGAAAAGTTTAAAGATTATAATCTAGACTAATGTTTCCACTGAGTTTAAAGTGAAACCTTTGAAATAGGATTACATTTCACTTTTACCAATTTTATTACACATTTCTTATTTCCTTAAGCTCGGGAATTTTACACACCTTAGCATATACAAATTATATTTATAGTATAATGCTGTAAGCAGTTTTAGAAAGGTTAGAAAAAAAACAGCTGAAAAGCTAATGAATTCAGTATTTCTAAATGTATCTATCTCTATACACTGTCAATTAAAAAAACATTCTCTACACTAATAATGTCACTTATTGCTACTTAAAGGGTTCTAATTCTTGTCTGTTCATGGTATAAATGCCATTGCCCGTATGCATTGTCATGAGCCATTAGAATATCTCGAGCACCTGATTATAAGAGTCATGTACACAATTGTTGGTAGAAATATGTATTCCAAAATCATGGACATTAAAGAGGAACTGTCTCTCAGGATTTTTTCATAGAATGTTTGATAAGCCCTATTTTTTTAAACAAATTTGTATTTGTGAGTTCTAAATCATAAAAGTAAATGTAGAACTCCACGCTGCTCTATCGAGCAACTGGATTCCTCCATCATGGCTCCCTTTGACAAGGATCCTGGAAGTTTAACTCCTTGAGCAGAAAATATGTCTGACCTAAAGATGGCATTACTGAGAAGAAAGGGTTTCAGATAAGTATATCTGCATCCTCCACTGTCCAAGTTATTTTGGGGATCACTACAAAAACTGTTATACTTTCACAAATTACAGTATTGCTTTAAAGGGGTCCATCTCTTCCACAAATCCATAAATGTGTCACTATAGTTGTCTGCCAAACCCATGTGCAATTTGCTCTGTTTCTAATTAAGTTTTGGCTGCATTAGTCCAAATTCGGAAATGTGTGAATTTCTGAATCAACATGTGAATCATTGTGTGAATTTTTGAATCAACCTGAAAAATGAACGGATTCCTAACAAATCAAAGCAGGTTTTTTTTAGATCCATACATTTTGATAAGGATAGCAAATTAGGGGTTTGTCAATTAAATAAGTGAAAGATCAAAATTAAGAAAGGGCATTTCTTAAAGGGACACAATAGTCACCTGAACAACTTTAGCTTAATGAAGCAGTTTTGGTGTATAGAACATACCCCTGCAGCCTCACTGCTCAATCCTCTGCCATTTATAAAGGCATCCAGGAGGTGCCGAAACATTGGGTGGTTCTTTGTATTCGTGTTTCTGCCCTATCAGGTTGTGGAATTGTGGTAAATATGTACTATGGATATTTTATCTAGCCTGTTAACTATCACTTTATTTGTATTATATTTATACCATACTTGTAAATCAGATATTGGCCTTATTAAACCAAGATATTAATTTCCTATGGTTTTTTGGTGTGCATTCTCTGTTCATGTAAGACTATAGAGACTGTCAGTTTTCAAATACTGTAATTGGTATATCTGAACATTCCCAATTTCAGTAAGTATCTAGGAGCTTATAAATTATTCAGAAAACTACAAATAAGTATAAACAAATTCAAATTATAACAAAACATTTTTTTTCTCACTGGAAAATAATATGAAAAAATGTCCTATTAGATAAAATGATTATTAGAAATAATTTGAATCCATTTATCCATTCACACTCTCAGCAGAACTGACTGGGCAGAATTTATATATCTGAATCTGCATGTTGAGAAATTGGCACTCCAAAAATGAAATGGGAACGCTAGATACATTCAGCTAATTAGAAAAGGTCAATGGGTTAATTTGACATTCTCCAAAAGAGCTAATCTTACAGTAGTTGGCCAAAAACACAAACAGACTTAAAATAGCAGAGCATATTGAATTATTTGTGAAGACATTGTTGTCTAATATTGTTCATCCAAACCTAACAGTGGGAAGTAAAGTTATATCTATGTATCTATAATTTTAAATAATATATATATATAAAAACAGAAAGTGTATTTCTACACACCATCAATTTCTTTTCCTGGTTATAGGACATGGTAGCACAGCAATGGGTATCCCTTCTT